TCTATAGATTCTATAATTTTTTCTATTTCTTCAAAACTCAATGTATCTGGGAGTTTACGAATCATTTTTGGAGCTTCTATCAGTTCAGCGGCATTTTGTTGTAGGTAGTTTTGATAAATAAGAAAGCCAAAGAATGATTTAATACCTGATATAATTCGAGCCTGTGTAGATTCCTGAATAGAAAAATTTTCAATGAGATAAGTGATGAATTCTTCTAAATTCTTGCGTTCGATTTGACCCAAAGGCAGCTTAGGATTTTGCAACTCAGCATAAACTTGCAATTTCTGAATATCATTCAAATAGGCATCAATAGTATGGGGAGAAGCGTTTTTCTCTAGTTTGAGGTAGTTTCTATATTCTACCAAGATAAAATTCCAATCCATGATTTATAGTCGTTCACAGTTTTCTCTAACCCAGTTTTTATCCATAGCTTCGAAATGCCAATATTCATTAGCGTAAGCTACAAAACCAGCCTGAAGCATTATTTCTTTTAGAAGTTTTCGATTTTTCTTTTGTGTTTCCGTTAAACCGCTGTAATCACTATGTGACCTCTCTGAAAATTCATCAAATGGAGAGCCAAAATCGAGCAATCTATTTGGAGTTAGAACATCATTGTATTCTTCTAAAATAAGCACATCGACCGCCATACCATAATTGTGCATAGAATCCCTGTCTGGCGGCGCTATATATATATCTTTATCATCACCAGAATAACTTTCCCACATAGCTTTCTGAATTGCATAAGGTCTTACCGCATCTTTGATTACTAACCTATAATTAGGATAACTTTGTTTTAAAATTTCATTTGCTTTCTGGACCTTATTATAAGCTATGAGATGTAAAAATGGTATTTCAAATTCATAATAAAATTTCCGGTTAAATATATTTATTTCCTGAGCATATTCCAATGCACTATAAATTGAATCATCAATAATTGGCTTCAATCCTTTGTCATTCCATTCTTTTTCGAGAGCTGTAAACTGAATTTGTTTCATCTCTTTTAGCTTGGGGATAGATATATAAAAAGATGTCCCTACTCCTAGTTTTGATTCAAAACGGATCTGTCCATTCATTGCTGCTAGTATCTTTTTAGTAATAGCTAGCCCTAAACCACTCCCTGAATTCTTTGTGGTAAAATTAGGAATGAAAATTTTATCTTGCTCCTCTTCCTTTATACCTTTTCCATAGTCTTTAATGATTAGAATATAATTTTCGTGATTCTCATCTAAAACTAAATCCACTGTAGCTTCCTCTTCGTCATAGGCTTGTATTGCATTCTTTACTAAATTATTTAAGCAACTAATCATTTGATTTCGATCTCCCTGTATATAGGCACTTGACAGGTAGGATGTAAAATGGACATTGGTCATTTTATTGTTAAAGACATTGGTTACACTTTTTATCAATGGTATCCAATCTAGTGATTCCATATAAGGAGTGTGGAGTCTAGCAAAGTTAGAAAATGAACTGGCTATATTGTCTAAATTATCTATTTGTTCTATAAGTGTTTCGGCTGTACTCTGTACCAGCTGATTTATATTTTCCGCTCCATCTTTCATCTTCTTTTGTAGAAATTGAATTTTAAGTTTCATTGGCGTCAACGGATTTTTTATCTCATGCGCTATCTGTTTGGCCATTTCACTCCATGCTTCTTCCCGCTGTTGCTCTGCAAGTTGCCTAGCACTTTCTTGAATCTCATCCACCATGATATTATAACGCTTGACGAGCTCCCCAATCTCATCTTCATACTTATATTCTAGATATTCATTTTGTTTTGATAATCCTAGTATGGAGATTCTCTGAGCTAAAGACTTCAGTGGTTGAGTGATCCTATTAGCAAGCCAAATAGCAAAAGCCATCGAAATTAGGAAAAATATAACATAAAGATTAATCAATACAACCATGAGTCTCATCTCATCATTCTGAGAATTAGTTTCTTCCTCAGCCGTAAGGCGCAGATAGGTCGGTTTATTAGTCTTTCGATTAAAAAGTTTTGAGTAGGCTTCTATTTTTGAGGTCGCTAGAGGTTCTTTTTTCTTTTCGAGTATGGCTTCTGTTTCAGAGTTTAACTCTTGAAAAACTTCTGGATTTAATAATTGAGGATAAATTTCATTTAAAAAATTAGATTTACTCGTTTTGATGAGTAGGCCTTTATCATTATACAATTCATAGTGAATAGAAGACAGGCTCTTAATTTTTTTAAAGAATTCATCCACCATAGTTTCAGGTTGGTGGCCATCATGATTGAAATATTCTTCTGTAGCTTTTTGGGTTACTTTAAGATTGTTATATTTGACTTCTTGGTTGTAATTCAAAAATTTGTCACGTAGACTATTGAAACTTAAAAATGTAATTCCCGAAAATATGCCTATGACTATGAGAAAGATAGCTAATACTATTTTACTGCGTAAATCCTCCAAATGAAATACATGCATGCCTAAATAGGTGATACGTAATAACCATGCAATAAAAAGTAATAATAAGGCCAGAATAAAATTGATGCAGAAAATATATGAAAACTGTGTGAGAATAGAAACTGGGTTGGTCTGCTGTGTTGTAACTATTACTTTAACATCTGTTCCTACCTTTTTTACACTATGTTCAAATTCTATACCATATAAATCTTCTTTTTCATTAATTGATTCTGGCGTATATGGGTAATTTTTTTTATAATTGAAGAAACCCGATTGCTCATAGAGACTATCTTTAACATAAAGTCCATAACTTATTTTATTATCTCGTATTATGATGTCATTTATAGCGGCCTTAGTAGTTTTTGCTATTTTATTTAAGTGATTATTTGGGAAAATATAATAGTACCTAGAGACGTTTCCATTTGTTTTTTGTGCGATATATATACCACCCGATTCTGTATTACCTAGAAAAAGTTTTAAGTATTGATTACCTAGGATGAGGCTATTCGCAGTGATAGCTCTATTGTCTAAATAATTTTGATATTCTAGCTTATCAATTTCTCTTATTCCCACTAATTTTAAATCATCAAATCGACTAATTATTTCTGCGGGAGCAGTGTTTTCTAGTTTTTGTATAATACTTTTCTCTAAAGATTTATCTAAGCCAAAAGTAACATTAGAAGCAATAGAAGATAGTAGAACTTCTTCTTTCTTAATATTGTATCTAGATAATAGAAAGGTGGTGGTAAACGATGCGAATATTAAGAAAATGGAAAAGCTAAATACTTTATTTTTTATATTATATAAATAACGAGCATAGAAAAGAATAATAAAGAAAACAAGAAGGATAAAAGTCAGTTTAACTTCTAATTTAAAGTCTGTAAATACTATTAAGCTAAAAACAAAAAGAATAAACAATCCAAAAGAAATCAGGAGTCTTCGCTTTGCTAAATTGAATTGAGAGATGGTTTTTAGAATTAGGTTGGATAGTAAATAGTAATTAGAAAAGGTCATAAGCATAATACCCAATCCAATAAAACTATATACAGTAAGGCGAGGGAAGTAGTCAAAATTGAACCAAATAGAACTTTCTACGACCATCCGTTCAAAGATTTTATTGATAGAAAATGATTCTCCTAGTAAAAAGATTAAAGCCAAGGTATGAATAACAAAGGCTAGAAGACTATTTTGCCATTTTTTTAGATTGATATAGAGATGCTCTTGTAGATAAAATAAAATGACTTGAGTAGAAAACACAAATAGCAACAAATCTCCCAAAGAAGGTGTCACATCAGAGCTATATAAGGATGGATTAAATAACTTAAGACTATAAAAAATAGAAGGTAATTTATAAAAAAGTAATATTTTACGTGTAGTATAAACTAAGATTGAAAAAATTAAACAACCAGCTATTGGAAAAATGCGGGTAAGTTGCTGTGTCAAATAGAAATAGGTTTTTATCAAAAAGAACACAGCCATGATGATGACTATCAAGGCTATGATAGTCCAAAAGTCATTTGCATGAATTGCCCTTTTTAAGCTAAATAAAAACGTATTAGTGCTATCTTTGAATGAAATTGAATTGACTTCTGTGTAACCGATAATCTTGTATTCATCGCGCTCCTTTTTTTCATGAAACAACACGAAGGAACTGTTCAATTCCTCATCTATATATCTGTCTAAGCTATACCATAAGACTATAAGCTTTTGACCATTAACTACTTTTTTTAGTAGAAAATGATTATTCTCAATTTGTCTATAAGATAATTTATCTAAATTATCAAGCACCTGTTGATTGAGCAGATAGGAGTTTGCTGACCAGTGATTCAGACTGTAATCCTGAGCATCATATGCTTGATAAGATAAATATTTATTTTCGAATAGGTCTTTTCGCTCTATTGTATGTGTGTCAGTTAATTTATTTAGAAAGGCTTTATCCTGAGATAGATTCTCTAAACTATTTATTTGATTTTGCAACTTTTCAAAGTTTGCTTTTTGGAGAAAACTATCCAGTGGGTTAACCGAAATAAGCCAATAGATCAGAATACAAACTGAAAATAGAAGCGCAGATGTCTTTACATTCTTATTTTTGAATGAATAACTGAGTATTCTAGATAAATGGGAATAGTAATGCTTCAATTCGCCTTTTTGGACACAAAGTTAAACCTAAATGTCAAATTTAAGGACGAATTATCATTTATCGAATCAACGTAAAGGTGCCTTTATGTATCTTGACACCCCAAGGGGTTATCAATTCTGCATAATACAAGTAAACAGCCATAGGTGCCGGCTTGCCTTTATAAGAGCCATTCCAGCCTTTTTGTTGATTGGTCTCAAATACTTTCTCGCCCCAGCGGTCGTAGATAGCGAATACTTTTATCTCTGTGCATTCATCCATATTCGGAATGTACTCATCGTTTAGATTATCTTGATTAGGAGAGAATACATTAGGGAAACCGTAGAAACAAGTGTCAGGCAACTTCCCAATTATTTTATAAGAAATCGTATCCCAACAATCATTCTCATCTGTCACACGCACAGTATAGAGTTTAGGTTGGGTATTATTTATTTTATAGTCAATTTCAGAATTGGTACTACCCGTCTGCAACCATAGATAGGTCTGACCTCCTGAAGCTGTCAAGGTGACGGTTTGTTTATACATCACAGGGTTCGGGATAGAAGGCGTAATCTCTGCCTTTGGCTTTGGATAGACTATGACGTTTATATATTCTATGATACTATCACATCCAGAATAAGCTCCACGTATGCGAATTGAATCCATCTTCATCTTTGAGACTAGATAGGTCTTACCGTTATAGCGGAATGGTGAACAGCCTTGCACCGTTTTTTCCTTGTATATCTTCTTGAATATTTCTCTAGGTGTGATATTTATGATAGAATCACAATTTGGCAGAGACTTCGATCGAATGGTATCTCGCTCTATATATGAAGTATCATGTCGTTTGCCCTTGCTATCTATATAAAATTCACAATGTATTTTAGGTGTGTAATTAAGAATCTGCTTTTGAAGTACATTGAGATCTAGAATATCTATAAAGCTATCACAGATACCATCTGCTTTTTTAATCGTGTAATAATAAAGGTTGGTCGATTTTCTATAACTGCTATTAAACAAGACACTATCTCCAAAGCAAATGCGTTGTTTAGTTGTTTTAGAGGCTATAGTTCTATTCGTATAGACCATAACGGTATCCCTGGCTTTACACCCGCTACTTCGGTCAGTAATCTCAAGAATATAATTGACACTATCATTGACAATATTGCATATAGGATTAGCAATATTAGGGTCATTGAGAAATTTAGTAGGTGTCCAGCTATAGGACCAATCAGAGATAGGAGATTCACCCAACTGCACGGTAAAGGCTCCTAGGCAATTGAAGGTATCTTTACCCGCATTCGGTATTATCTGAACCACAGTGACGGTTTTCTCCATAGTATCTTGGCAGCTACCATTGGTGACTATGAGTCGGATAGGATAGCTACCTCCACTAGGGAAGTTGAGTACTGGTGGACTAGACCCTGCATGGCTTGAAGGTATCGCATTGCCAAAGCTCCAATTATACGAAGTGATAATACCTTTGCTCGTATTAGTTATTGGCAAGGTTTCTCCATAACAAAGCAAGTCTTTCGGAATACTGAATCGCGCTCTCGCTGGACAACAAACTTTGGTATTCACTACAAAAGTATCTCTTTGCAAACAACCGAAAGTATCTCTAAACTCTAAATAATAGGTACGATTGGTCGTAGGGAAAAAGAATGGATTCTTAGATGTAGTAGAAGAAATAGAGAGATTCGGAGACCATACTATATTGGTAGCATAGATAGGTATCGTCATCTGCACTGAATCTCCGATACAAATTAACTGGTCATCCATTTTTGGATATATTGCCGCAGATTTCACTTCAATATCTATAGTATCTATCAATTGACAATTCTTCGCACTCGTATATGAAACAAGATATCGTTGGTGATTCGATACAAAAACTTTTGGATTTCGAATAGTATCATTGGTCAATCCAGAAACAGGACTCCACTGATAATTACTGCCCGTACGAGCCAGTAATTGGATAGAATCATTGAGACATTGGGTGAAGGTGAATTTTTGAGCGGTATCGCAGGGGAGAGGTTGGATTGAAGAGCAATTACATGTAAATGGTTTAGTGTATAAATTGGAAACTTCAGAGGCAGTTAACGCGCGTCTATATATTTTTAAATCATCCATGGCTCCGTTAAAATAAAAATTTAATGGATTACCTGCACCTATGCGCAATGGTAAAGTGTTTATATTAAGTGCAGTAACAGAATGGGAATAGGAAGTGTCCAGAACTCCATTCGTATAATAAGATACAAGACCGTTCTTATGGGTTACCGCTACATGCACCCAACTATTCAAATTATATGGTTTGTTATTTGAATGCCAATTAACTTCTTTATTAATAAATCTTGTAGTGCGACCCCTAAAAGTAGTATTTGTAGGATGGCCATATGTATCAAAGAGGTATCCGTCTCCAGTTGTCCCTGTTATTTTATCTACTAGTCGATAGCCTTGCGTAGCAGTATTCGTTTGATTTATCCATAAAGAAATCGTTAACTCATTTGTCAATTGTAATGAAGCGTTACTAGGTATTTCTATATAACCATTTGTTCCATTAAAATTCAATGCAGAATTAGTTTTACCCGATTTGTCTGATATATTCGAAACTCCACCTAATATGATTCCATGATTATTATACTTGGTACTATCATTCGCATTTCCATCCATAGACATACAGAGAACTAGGCCAGAGGTGTCGCAGTTGGAAGAAGGTGGATAGACTATTTCCCCACAACTATCTGCGACTAGATTGCAATTCGGATTAGTTTGATTTATCTGTGCACCACCGCCAAGCGTTCCATTATAGGCTGAATTTCCTTGTTTATTTATCAAATTATCAAAAGTATAATAACCTAATAAGCCTGCTTGGGTAGTTGGATTAGGAAGACTGCCAGACATGTATTGTCTTATTTGAGATTGGGTGCGAGCAATATTCCATATTCTTACTTCGTTAACATACCCCTTGGTAGAGTGATTATTTCCCCCAGTTGTAATTCCTGCATAATTTGAAATATTAGCCACTAAATTGTTAGTAATTAGATTACCTTTAGCTACAACCTGACTCATTAAATAACCATTTCGATAAAACTTTAGCACACTGCCATCGTAAACTACAGCCACATGATAGGTTTTATTTAGTAAAGGTTTGCAAATACTAGGAGTATAATAAAAATCTGCTCCTCCTACTCCTTTCCCATTTAAAGAACTATCTGTAGTTACAGAACCAAATGTAGACCTTAAATGATAATTAATATTGTAACCATGACTATGTTTTGAAATAATTTCTCTATCATCCCAAGTAGGATTTGATCCAGTATCAATTTGATTAACTAAAGCCTCCAAGGTTAATTTGTCTCCAGTAATATCAAGATCACCAATAGTTACTCTATCATTTGGATTAGTAGTCTTAAGCCAGTTATTACAGGTTATTTGAGAAGGAGGCACATTACACGCACCACAGTAGCCTTTGACTTCGGAAGGAGCTAGGACACGATTATAGATACGGATATCATCCACATCGGCATTAAGCCAGTATGGATATGTAGCATTATCTAACTTACCTATGAAAACATCCAAATTGTGAGAACCAATGCTACCAGAAAAGTTACAAGAATATTTCTTTTCACCATTGATATAAGTATGAATACTGTCGCCAGTGTATACTACAACTAAACAATACCAAGTGTCTCGTTTAACATAAGGAGGGTTATGAATTTGACTCAAAGAACAACCACCCGAAGAAGAAATTGACCCATAAAAATTATTCTGATTGGTATCCGCGGATGAATTGCAACCATTGTTCGGAGAATATCGTAATAGATAATTACCCGTCTGATAATCAGTATTGCCTTTCATTAATATGGAATTTCCCTTACAAGTACCATTATAAAAACCTCTAGGTTTTAAAATAGCCGTCATTGTAATTTTATTTCCAGAAAAACTATTCAAACTAGTAGAATTGGCTATTTGCATATAGTCATTCACCCCATCAAATCTATAAGCCGTATTCGCAACGCCGTCTTTTCCAACGACTGCAGTTGCTCCATAATTCGTAGCATGGTTACCTAGTCCAGATTTATCTTGAGTATTCCCGTTGAAGTCTAGGTGAAGGACCTTGCCTGTGTTGAGATTGGTGGTGTCGCAGTCTTGTGAAGTAGTTTTACAAGAATCTTTATAGACTATCATTCTCATAGAAACCCATGCACAAGAACCATTAGCATTAGTCCCTTCTATAGTGAATGCATTGACACCGTTTATCAGTAAAGACTTATTGATGAGAACGGATGAAACATTATTCCAACCAAAAGGTGTAGACGTAACATGGGTTCCATTGACCTTAAATGATACAATATTGTCATCTGCCTGCACTAGAACTCGTATACTATCTATAATCGATACATTTGGTATATTAATCTCTCTCTTTACATTACAGGCAGCGCTAGCTGTGCTGCCCCAGATCATTTGGTTAGCATTTTGAATACCAATTAAATTGATAGGGCTCCAAGCATGCGAAGATTGCCCACAAGTATTTATACCGAGAGTTGCTTTTACCCAACTTCCGCTTGTGTTTTGATAATACCAGTTTGATGTGTCTGTATAATATATAGTAGAATCTTTACAACCTACAACAGGACACAAAGTACAATTCTTCACACTATCCACCTGAGTATCCCAGCTTGCTCCATTTTGCAGTGTCCCAACAAAATTACCATTTACTAAACTAACTGTATTGGTTCCAGTTCCTTCATCAGCTTTGAAATAAGCTACTAAGTTAGGAGTAGAAGCTGGAAGGCACGATTTATAACTCGATTGAATTTCAGATGCTGTTCTTACAGAATTCCAAAATCTAACTTCGTCTATTTTACCATTAAATGGGGTAAAAGTATGGTAAGGGTTGAAATTAACATCTTGGTTACCAATAGTCACAGCTACACTATTCTTCATTCTCTGAGACATAGGAATCGTCAAGGTGCCAGAATTCACTTGATTACCATTGACATACAAGCGCATTGTATTAGTAGAATAGTCCATAACACCTGCAGCGTGATACCAAGTATTGGGGCTAAAACTCATAGTAGTGGCGATAACACCTTTTGGCGCTCCGCAACCCGTTTGACCACTTACAACCCAACCAAACCCCGTGCCTCCTGACCATGGCATATTAAAAATAAAGCCGATATCCTCACATAACTGAGCATCAGAAGCAGTAACAACAGATTCCATTCCTATAACCGTTGTCCTATTACCAAGATTAAACCAACACTCCCATGTAAATCCATTCGTGCTATACAAATCTTTCCAAGCGGCTCCATTTTTTGGATCTATTTTGACAACGGTATTCGTAGGAGTGCCATTAAACTTAAAAGAAGATTCACAATACTGAGCACCACCTCCTCCAGATAAGATAATTCGATGTATCGTATCCAATCCAAACCTATTCCCCACACAAGAGCTATCCGAAAAACTACTAATACTTATCAAACTGGTATCCTTTTTAGGAACTATAGAAAAGAAATATGGATTAGAACTGATATTGGTTTGGGTAAAATTGTTCGTGCCATCCGTTAAGGTAATATTAAAAGGGGGATTTCCCTTGAAATGCACCGTGATAATTACTGGATTGGAGTTGTAGCTCGTATACTTTCGATTCGTTAACCATGCTTTAGGAGTATCAATATTGACTAGATTAGTTTTCGTTATTGTATCGCAACCTAAACTGTTACACGTAATTAAGGTGATTGATTTAAGTCCATTGGTGGCATAGGTTACGACTGGATTAGCTATAGCGGAGCTAACTGGGCTGCCGCCTGGAAAAGACCAATTATAGGTCAAGGTTGGTATTCCAAAACTCTTGGCGGCATAGCGGACTGATTTACCTATGCATTGAAAGGTATCGAGTGCTATAAAATCTGATTTCGGCTTTTTAGTTAAGCATTGCAGTGCTTGAAAAGCATTGACCCTACCAGCTCCTAACTGTCCTATAAAGCTCGGATTTTGTGCATTAATATTATCGCAGGTTCTCTTGAGACAGGCTTCAATACTATCTGCAGGCATTGGATTGTAGCATTTCATGAGAGCACATAAACCTGCCACAAGAGGTGATGCCATACTCGTGCCACTTAAATTTCCATAAGCATTTGTTGCACCTGCTAGACAGCTTGGGATACCAACTCCTGGAGCTGTCACGTCTATGGTAGAGCCATAATTAGAAAAGCTAGCTCTCGAATCATTGTTAGCAGAAGCAGCGACACTAATCACGTGATTGTATGAGGCAGGATACATCGGTGTGGACGTATTGCTATTCCCTGCGGCAGCCACACATATGATACCTTTTGTTTTGGCTATATTGAATAATGTCTGATAAGTCGCAGACCATCCACCACCTCCCCAGCTCATATTGATGACATCGCATCCACTAGCATTGATAGCATAATCCAATCCTTGGAAAGCACCTGTTAACGAGGAGTTTGAACTAAGGCCTAATTTGATAGGAATCATTTTACAATTGTATCCTATAGAAGCAATGCCCTTGCTATTATGTGTTTGACCGGCTATGATACCTGCTACGTGCGTCCCATGAGTAAAGTATGAATTGGTCGGAGATGTTGCCGAAGGGTCATTATCATTATTAGCCGCATCCCAGCCACGCCAGTCATCTATATAGCCATTGGCATCATCATCTATCCCGTTTCCTGCTATTTCACCAGAATTAATATGCCATTGATTGACTAAATCCTCATGTGTCAAAAGAAATCCATCATCCGTTACGGCTACTTTCACATTCGTACATCCTTGACTTAGGTTCCATGCCAAATCAGCTTGTATTTTACTTAAATTCCATTGACTAGAATACAAAGGGTCATTGGGTGTGAAAAAAAGCTTATAAAGAGGGACTTTCTCCGCGAAATCTATCTCAGGAAACTGATTTAATTGTAGAATCAAACTATCTAGATTGGCATCTTTATCTAGAATAAGCTCGAAGGTAGAGTTTAAGAGCGGGTGGATTGAAACTGGCTTAGCACTAACTATTTCGGCCGGGTATAGAAGGACACGAAACTTTACATCTTTGTCTAGTGCATAATTAGACTTATAGTCTACTTTTAGTTTTACAAATAGTCGATTAGAAAAATAGTCTTGACTATTTAATATCGTCGATGTTAATACTATCGATATTAAAAATATGATTCGCATAGTTGGTCATTTTCAAGAGCAAAGATATGAAAATAATATTATTTCAACTATTCTATCATAAATGACATTTGATAATAATTATTTACAGCCGTCAGTGCTTTGTATTTTATATAAAAATTTTCGGTAAACTCTTTGAATGCTTTAAATTCGTGAATAGGAACATTATACTCATCAAAGAATATAATATCACCCGCTTTTAAAAATGGGTATAGCTGAGAAAGTGAAAAAATGGTAGCACTATATAAATCCGCATCCATATGAATGACTCTTACATCCGCATTCATAATATCATCTCTATGCATATCTATAAACGGCACTAAGGAATCTTGAAAAAGACCTTTAATATATTTTGCTCGCGAATCATCTAAGTTTGGAACATCATGACTCATGTCTCCTTTCTTAAAAAATCCACCCCAATTTTCTGGCAATCCTTCAAAAGTGTCAAATCCGTAAAATTTAGAACTGGAATTATTATTTAAACTAACGAATTTATTGAATGAATTGCCTCCAGCTACTCCAAATTCTAGATACATAATATTTTTTGAATCAAGTTTGAATTCGTTCATAACAAATTCATAGGAAAGCTCTCTGTCGTCGTACTTTCTAAATGGTCTATAAAAATCATTTTTTAATAATTTTATTTTATAACCTGAAGTGGCAGAAATCATTAAATTCCAGTAATAAACATAATTAAACAACTTTGCTATTGGATAGAAAATATAGGTAATTCTAGTTAGAATTAGGAGGTCTTTAATGAATTTTACGAAACCAAACATGTTTTACTTTATTTTAAAAGTACAAATATATTAACTAAATGTAAAAACATTTATAAGTTTGTAGTTGTGTACATTAAATTCAAATTATGATCAAATTTAACTGGCTGCTTTTATCACTAACCTCCTTAGTTCCAATTATTATAGCTTATGTTTGGTTCAATCCCAATGTTTATAAGAATATCTTCAAAAGCTGGGATCTGTCTCAACATAATTTTCACTGGACACCAAGCAGAATTGTCGTGTTTTTTGTTTTAAGCTTTATGTATAGCATTACGATTGCCTATCAGGTGATCCATCAGTTGCATTTCCAAAGCCTACTTATGAATGAAGTAGGTTTTCTAAAAGGAGAAGGTAATGCATATAAGGACTTAATCTATATATTTGAGTTGTATGGGAAAAATTTTAGAAGCTTTAAACATGGCGCGTTTCATGGTTTATTAAACTCTATATTTATTGTACTTCCAATTTTGGCTTATGGAAAATTGACTTCTACCAGTAAATGGCGTTCTGTTTTCTTCCAATGGATGTTTTGGATGATTTGTGGCGTCCTTATGGGAGGTATCATTTGTGAACTTTATTAATTCTACTACCTAAATCATTATAATAATGAATAGACCTACACGATTATTTGATTATATAAATCTTCAAGCAAGAGAATTTCCTCAAGAAAAAGCTATATCTCATAAGCACAATGGTATCTGGAAGTATTATTCCTCGCTAGATTTCGAAAAACATGTGAATGAATNAGGTAAAATACCTAAAGCTGGTAACAAATTAATAAAGAGTAGCAATGGAATTACATTAGAGATAGATAAAAATAGTTTAGTATCAGGAAGTAGTGAACCCATAGATTTAGATTTCAAAGATTTCACCCAAAACTACGATATTATAAAAAAAGGGTTTAATACAGCTTCGGGTGGGTGTAAAAATTTATCTTTAATTGGTGCTTTTTCGGCTAGTTTTACTCAAGAGTATCAAGAGCTATCTATTAATAGTCAAAAGCCTCTTGTGGTTTCTATTCCTTCTGAATATTTCCCAAATGCTAAATTGTTTTCAAATCCTAGAAATTGGGCTGTAGATACCATAAATAAGTTAAGCTACAATCAAGAAAAGAAGGCTTATGAAGTTTCCGTTGTGAATAATACGAATGTGATTGGTGTCTTTAATGATGTGCCGGATACGGTTGTGTTTTTAAAGGTAAAAATAAAAGGACTCTCACCAGAACTCATAAAACCTTATGTGGTTTATGATAATTGTAATATATCTATGTGTTGCAGACAGAAAGGAAAGTGGTTCTTGATTCCAATTACTACCGCAAGTTCTACCTATAAAATTCGCTCTTCTTATATTGATTATTCTAGTAAGAATGGCGATGCATATTCTGTAAACTACGATATTAAAAATTTAGATTTATCTACCTTAAGAAAAGATGTGGTGGATGGTAATATAGTAATCTATAAATATCATGAAAAGATAAAAGTTTCTAATCAAAAATTGGACAAGTCGTCTTTATGTGACCCAATTCCAAGTTCAAACTAGTATATAAAAAAAATGGGAAGTAGAAAATCTACTTCCCATTTTTTATTTATCAAGTTGTTTCTTCAAACTCAAGTAATCTTCCTCTGGAGTAGGTTTTCCATTTTTCAATTAACGCAGTCATATCCTCTGGAAGCTCTGAGTCAAATGTCATCCATTTTTTAGTCTCAGGGTGCTCTATGCCTAGCTCTTTAGCATGCAGTGCTTGTCTAGGGCATACTTTGAAACAATTTTCAACAAACTGTTTGTATTTACTAAACACTGTCCCTTTTACTATTACATTGCCACCATATCGATCATCATTAAAGACAGGATGGCCTAGACTAGCCATATGTACTCTGATTTGGTGGGTTCTTCCAGTTTCCAGAATACATTCTACTAGGGTGCAATAGCCAAAACGCTCTATCACCTTATAATGTGTTATGGATGGTTTACCTTCAAAGTCATCTTCAAAGGTGCGCATTCTCTTCCTTTCAAATTTATCTCTACCTATATTCTTATTAATTGTCCCCTCGTTGGCATCTAGGTCGCCCCATACTAGGGCAACATATTTTCTATGATTGGTTTTGTCAAAAAATTGTTTGGCTAGATAAGCCATGGAAAAATCAGTTTTGGCTAGGACCATAATCCCACTCGTATCTTTATCTAGTCTATGCACAATTCCTGGCTTCATTGCATCCTGACCCTTACCAAGGTTTTTAACATGAAATAGCAGCGCATTGACCAATGTACCTTTATAATTACCTACACCAGGATGCACAACCATACCGGCGGGTTTATTTATAATGAGCATGTCATTATCTTCATACACTATATTTAATGGAATATCCTCAGGTTTGATACCTTCATGGCCAAATGGCAGTGGGAGAATAACCTTAATCTTATCTAAAGGGCTTATTTTATAACTAGACTTCACAGGTTTGTCATTGACGAGTAGCGAACCAGAATCAGCTGCTGCTTGAAACTTTGACCTAGATATTCGTTCTACATGACTGACTAGATATTTGTCAATTCGCATCGGCTCCTGACCTTTATCTATCTCTAGATTGATTTCACGAACTAGCTCATCACTATCTATTTCTAACTCTAACTCTTCACTTTCTAACTCCTTCATATATTGTGTTTAAAAAAAACTTACATCTTGCCCTGCATTGAGTCGCATGAGCATTTTTATGCCATTCTCCAAGGAATGACCTTCATACATCACTTTATAAATAATTCCTACCAGTGGAGCTTGTATATGCACTGTTTCTGAAAGATATTTAATCACTTTTACCGTATTGATACCTTCTGCCGCCTCAGTCATTGTCGATATAATTTGCTCTATAGATTCACCTTTAGCCAATCTATATCCTACCGAATAGTTTCTACTGAGTGGACTGCTACATGTGGCTACTAAGTCTCCAATGCCTGCCAAACCTAGAAAAGATTTGGGTTCTACGCCTAATGCTTTACCTATGGCTATCATCTCTGAAATACCTTTGGTGATTAATAAGGCCTTTACATTTTCTCCATATCCTAGAGCGGCAGATGCTCCCGCGGCTATAGCTATATAGTTTTTAAATACACCAGCCAATTCTATCCCTTTAATATCATTGCTGCCGTAGATTTGAAATCGATCACATTGAAGTATTTCTGTACCTATTGCTAAAACTTCTTTAAACCTAGACGCTAAAACGGTACCTGCAGGCTGTTTTTGAGCGATTTCTTTGGCTAAATTAGGCCCAGAAATACAACCTACTCTATACACAGGTGTTTCTTCTAATATAACTTCGCTCATGGTGCAGATGTCTTGTGGTCTTATCTCTACAGCCCCTTTAGAATAGTCCACTTTTACATCAAACCCTTTGGCTCCGTGAATTAAGATATGATTAGATGTTAAGAAATTGGATAATTCCTTAATCACTGGTCTAAATGCATAGGATGGCAAAACGGGGAAGATGACATCACATTGCCGCGCCACATAGCCCAAGTCAGTTGTCGCATTGACATTGGGTAATATTTCAATATCCCTATGCTTTTTATGCACGTTAATATTATCCACTGTACTTTGTTTTCTAGCATACATAATCACTGAATGCCTCTCTGCAATGAGATTGGCTAATACCGTGCCGAAGCTACCTATTCCCAATATTCCTATGGGCTTAGTTATGTTATATATTTTGCTCAAGGTTGTATCCTATTAATCTATTATAATAAAAATAAGCTAAGCGAACATCTTGTGAATTGATATTGCCATCAGAGTCTGCATAGACTACTTTTTTAGAGTTAAATAAACTTATGGAGTTTATCCCATTTGCTAAAACATTTTCAATTGTATTTTCTTTAATATTTTCTGATAGATTTACCTTATTCAATTTTTCCATGTCATTCAGTTTGGATATGATAGTGTCCAGACCTACCATCATCTTATCTCGACTGATTATT